AAAGTAAGCAAGTTATTAAGCGTGTAAGGAATGACTCCCTTTTATTATTTCAAGAAACAATATATAGGTATCCATGAGAACCGAGCATCTTGGGCAGCTGTGTGCCCACCCCTTTCCTTACTGCACCCTCACCAGTAACCACCTGTGTCCATTCACATAAATTTAAACTGGGAGCAGAGTGAAGCCATCTGGACTGGCGGCAGAAACAGAGACAAGACGGATAACAGGACACACATGGCCTGGTCCACTCTAGGTCAGGTGTGAGGGAGGAACTGTTCCAAGCTCTCTGTAGGATAAGCACTGGCCTGCTAACCCCAAGGTCAGCAGTTCAAATCCACAGCTGCTCCTTGGAAACCCTATACAGGATCGTTATGAGTCAGAACAGACTTGATGGCACATAACAACAACAGGCTTAATAAACAGAAGGTGAGTGACAAGTTGAGCCGATAAGTTGGGGAGAAAGTGTTCCTTCCTTCTCCCCATCTCTGTCCAGAAGGCAACACTTGGCACATTCTGGCACCTCCAAGATTTGCAGCTTCGAGTTTTCATGGAGACTGTCCTCTGTGGGGAATACATTCACACTCTTAAAACATGCTACAGTGGAAACAAGATGGAAAAGGAGGGGGAGGACAGGGGACAAGGGTACCTGGGAAGAGGTAGAAACTGGTAGAAGGTTCCTGAACAGCCCTTGGAAGGCCAAGAATTAACCAAGTGGACCCTTCTAAGTGAGTCTGAAACCTGCTGCTACAAGAGCTGGGGAGATACTTCAGTAAAACATCTATTAGTGCACCCAGAGCAGAAAGTAGCCAGGAACTATTCTTACAAGGGCCTCAAAACAACCACAAACTATTACAAGGGCCTCACAGCTCACAAGACATCCCAGTTGCTTCCATTTCCTAGTCTTGGTGTATTAAAAAAAAGAGAGAGAAAAAAAAAAGTGCTAAAACAGGATTACTGAAATCACTGTGGATATTAAATATTCAAGCGTGTTAGCATATCTTTCTATTCATAATTTAACTTGGTAGTAATCTGTCTGTAGTCTAGCCCCTGTTTTAAATAATTCTCAATCAGTGGGTCAGTTGTTAAGTGCCGTAGAGTTGGTTCCAACTCACAGCAGCCGTGTATAGTGTTTCCAAGGCTTTAAATCTTCATGGAAGCAGAAAGCCTCATCTTTCTTCTGAAGAGCAGCTGGTGGGCTCGAACCACTAACCCTGTGGTTCGCAGTCCAGTGCTCATCACATGGTCAATGAGCTTGCCTGGGGCAAAAAGCAAACACACGTTGGATACTTAGATTCAAAAATACTACTTTGATCATCCTACTGGATACCACTGGTAATGTGTTATTGGTGTTTATTCATGATCGTAGATGTTTTTCTAGAATGAATACATGTATTATGTTACTGCAAACCAATAATGTGCATTGAAAATAACTGAAAATGGAGAGGAAGCATTTGAAAGAGGAGGATGAGCATGGCTACACAACGTGAAGACTGTAATCAATGTCACGGAACTGTTCGTGAAGAAATGAGAAATTGGAGTGGTGATTTCCCACAACAAAAATAACCCAAAATATATTATTTTATGAACAAATATGAAAAATAAATATTGCAGCAATATTCACAATTACCAAAAGGTGGAAACAACCTAAGTGTCCATGACCAGGCAAAGGGATAAACAAAATGTGCTCTAGTCATACAATGAAATATGATTCAGTCATAAAGAGAAGCCAAGTCCAGATGATTGCTACAACAAACTTTGAAAACATTATGCTGCGTGCAAGACACCAAGAACAAATATTGAGTGATTCCATTTACATGAAACATCTAAAACAAGCAAACCCATAAAGATATGAAATAGATCCGACATGGTGAGACCTGGGGACTCCTGAGCCCATGGACAAGGACATAGCCACGGAGGGCTAGAGCTGAGAGTGAAGCATCCAGCTAATATAAAGTGAGGGGAGACACACAAGAACACCCAAACTTGTAGACAGTTCCAACCTAGCTTCAATGGCTTGATGATCAGATCTCGACTAGAGGAAGATAAAAAAAAAATTTTTTTTAAATAAAGGAAACAAGTGTAAATTGCTAAAATTGGATGAACTTGACTTATACTTATGGATATAGTAGCTCAAAATACCAACTGAGAGGGAAGGAGTCTTCACATCAAATATCAATCCTGTCCCCTCTGTATACAGGGTTGATAGAGATAAGCAACTTAGACATTGGCTACTTAAAATGGGGGGGAGGGCCTTACAAATTTTCAAGATGGAGTTTAGTTTCAGAGTGTGTGGCGTAAGGTAAATCCCCACTGAATAGTTTTCACCTTGTCTAGATGGGTCTGGTGAAGAGATGGGGATAAGATTCATATGATTCAATAGTGAATAATTGTTATCACAACTAATCGCAATGGTCACAACTGTTAAGGTAGAAGTTTGTAACAAAAAGGGGGGAGTAGTTACTATTACAGTCCAGGAACAGAGGACCCTAAGACCATCAAGGGAGAACAGCACAAGAGGAATGTGGGACCCTATCCAGAGAAGCGGCGACACCACAGATGGAGGAAGAGATGAGGGCATGGAGAGAGAGAGCAGCTGAGGACTCGATGGTAAGAGAAAGGCTGTGTGTTCATGTGGCCTTTGGTTGTTTAAATGATGATATATACCTGAGTGTTTTTGTGTACATCACCCCCCACCAAAAAAAAGACGGAATAGAAGCAAATGCCATTGAATGATGATACACAGAGGGGACTGTAATCATTACAATGAAACGTAAAGTGTAAAACTGATGCTCTCCCATGTAAACTATCACTCAATTCATAATACATATATATATCAGACAAGGAGCTCTGGTAGCATAGTGGTTACAAATCGGACTGCTAACCTCAAGGTCACCAGTTCGAAACTACCAGCTGTTCCGCGGGAGAAAGATGAGGCTGTCTGCTCCCGTAAAGATTTACAGCCTCGGAAACCCTGTACAGGGTCGCTATGAGTCGGAACCGACTCCACGGTACACAACAACAACAACAACGTATATCAGACATTACCAGAGATGGAGAAGAAGAAGAAATGGGAATGATTAAAGAGTATTGAAATTCTGTTTTGGGTAATGAGAAAGGTTTTATAAATAGATAGTGGCGGCCATGGCACAACCCTGCAAATGTAATTAAATGTCACAGAGTCGAACACTTAAAAATGGTTACAAGGCATTAATTAAAATTTCAGCCTTTTGATTCCTAACAAAATCCATTTTTGTTAACAAAAATTTTGTTAACAAAGCTCAATTTTACCTTGACAGACCTTGGTGGACCTACCATAGAACTTCTGTGTGTTCTTTTATACTGCTCTGGGGTTGTATTTTCAGTTTTCTAAGCTTAACTTTATACAAAAAAAAAATGAGGGTAAACTCAGAACAACAACAACAAAAAGGTTTAACATGATAAATTTTATGTTGTATGTTGTTGTTGTTGTTGTTAATGCCATGTACTCCGACTCATAGCAACGCTGCACAGGGATTCTGAGGAGCAGTAGGTGAGTTCGAACCGCCGACCTTAAGGTCCAGTGCTTAACCTATGGTGCCACACCAGGGTTCCATGTTGCATACTTTACCACAAATTAAAATTAACCAAAAATAGTGGCCGTGGTGTCAACTCCGACTCACGGAGGCTGCATGCATGTCAGAGCACAACTGTGTTCCACTGGTCTTTTCAATGACTGGTTTTTTGGAACCATATCACCAGGCCTTTCTTCCAAGTCATCTGGGGATGGGATTCAAACAGTCAAACCCATTAACCGTTTGTACCAGCCACGAGCTCCAAATAATTTTTAAAAAGTATAAGAGGTGTGCCTAATACCTTTTAATGTTGGGGAACACCGCCCTGTGAGATGCTTGTGGAGACCAAGAAGTTCTTAGGAAGCTCGCACACTAACACAGGAAACTCACATTGATCAAATCACCTCACTAAAACTCCCTTTAGGACCACTGCGACCCTGCTGGTCCTCAAGCTGGAGACAAGCTCGGAGTTCGCAAGCGGCTCCACCTTCGCGTCCTCGCCAGGCCTTCCACACCCAACCCTTGCTGGTCCCGCCCTGTTTGCTCTCCCCACCAATCAGAGCAGCTGCTACGGTGACCACATGACCTTCTAGATCCGGTTGCTTTTGGAGGGGTGGGAGTTGTGTGCCAGTTAAGAGTTTAATTTGTTCAAGGTAAATGTTTTAACGCTACTGTAATTTTTTTAAAAAAGCGGTTTGGTAACTTCCTTGATTTTTGGTACATCAGGAGTATCAAAACATAGACCAACCCATTGCTGTGAAGTGAATTCAGACGCATAGTGACCAGATATAAGAGTAAAGCTGCCCATAAGGTTCCCAAGGTTGTAACACTTTAGGAAGCTGACAACCACATCGGTCTCCCAAATTAAGGTTGTTGGATTCAAACCGCCAACCTTTTGGTTAGCAGCAGCGCGCTTTAACCCACTGCGCCACTAGGGCTCCTTTCAAAAAGTAGAAAGCGGTGTTTTTCACCGGTGTGAGACCCTTTCCAGGAATGTGAACGCTGTGTCTCTGCACACCCACTGCAGGTGGCTTACAGTGACCCGTATATTCTGAATTCCTACTGTCTCCCCACCCCACCTCCACAGGGGTCACTTAACCTGTCATAGTTGGTTCGTCTGTAAAACAGGTACAATACACACCACGGTAGATCAATGCCCTGATATATTATTGTTAAATACCCTCTAGTCAATTCCGTCTAGTCACTTCCCACTCATAGTGGCCCTGTATAGGGAGGGTTTCCACAGGGAGCGGCTGGTGGGTTTGAAACGTCGACCTTGCAGTTCAAACCGACCTTTAGGTCCAGTGCTTATCCTACAGCGCCACACCAGGATTCCTTGACATGCGGGTTAAGTTGTTGGAAAACTGGAATTAAAAGATAATGGAATTTTCCCATGAACTCTTCAAAGTCCCCCATGTACAACCAGTACCTGGTGCAGGTGAGCCCTACCCAGGTGTCTGCAGTGGTTACTGACTCAGATTGGGAGTCCCAGGCGGACTGTGAGCCCAGGGCAGTGTCCGCACGAGGCGAGTGGGCTGGTGGCTGCAGCCCCGACGCAGGCCGGAGGAGGCGCTCACCCATCTCCATGTCCACCTCCTCCAGCACCACCTTGCGGTAGAAGAAGAGTGTTGTGGCAGCTTCCTCGTCGCTTGTTTGGTTGAGGAAGTGCAAGATGAGGTCCTCGGCCTCGCCGTCGTTGCGTGACAGCAACTCTTCGAAGAAACGGGGTTCGGTGAGGTCGAAGGCTTTGTACACTCGGTCCCGCATCCACCACACCCGCAGGTCGTCCATGGTACTGTGCAGGGACTGGCCGCCGGGCTGAGGCGGCTGCTAGCGGAGAGCGCGTCCCTGACCGCGTCCCTAGCAACAGGTGCCGGGAAACGGCCGCCACCTGACCGGCTGACGTCCCCACGCCGCGCCGGGGTAGTCCCGCGCCGGGGCAGTCCCGGGCTGGATGCGCTCACGTCCCACCTCCCACCCCCGCGTTCGCAGAGAGGACACCACCCATCTTCACCCCAGGGCTGGCGCCAAGGGATGGGGCGCGCCAACCTGCTAGTCCTGGGGCAAAAGGCGAGTGCAGTGACCTACAGATGTCAAGACCTTTGAGAAGCTGCTCCGTGCCCCACCTCATCCATTCTCACAAACTCTGCCTGTCAGCGTCTTCCTGGTTCGTGACCATAAGGGCTCAGTGGCTAGAGGTGACAAGATGATCAAGGTCACATAGCATCTCACTCGTGTTGGAGGCAGATCAGAGACTAGGTAGCCCTCAGCCGCAATGGACTAAGGGATGTTTGTTGTTAAGTGCCATCGAGTCGGTTCCATTCATAGCAACCCTACAGGGTTTCCGAATAGCGGCTGGTGAGCTTGAATTTCCCTACAGCTCCCTCCACACCAGGACTCCAAGGGGTGTAGTTATTGTTATTAAGTGCGGTTGAGTCTGTTCCCACTCATAGCAACCCTCTATAGGGCTCCCGAGGTGCGGATGGTGGGTTTGAACTGCTGACCTTGCGGCTCAAACTGACCTTGCAGTCCAGTGGATTATCCTGAAGCACTGCCCCAGGACCCCTGATGGGGGTTGTTAAGAGGAACAAATAAAACACAAGCTTTCTTAAGAAGGGGCACATTCCTTCTGGTGTACAGGATCAGAGAGGCAAGACAGTTCCTTGACTCTCTAGTGGAGACAAGGGCATGATAAAGCAAAACCACCACATTTTAAAAATATGTATTTTTTTTATTAGTTAAACAAAGTTTATTACGGAGAGTTAAAATGCCAATTTGTCCCTTCTTGAATTTGTAGAGCCAAATACTATGTATGCTGTTTCTTGTCATTCTGTCACAGGGACCCCAAAAACACAGGCTTTTGTGTGGGATTTTCCCATCAAGGAACAAGTAAGTGGACATGGTATGGACTTAATTGGGATGTCCTCAACTGCACCCAAATGTGTGTTGTAAATTCTCTTCTGTCTGTAGGCATCATCCCATTAGGAATGGGTTGTCTTTGTTATGTTAATGAGACCAGTTACTGTAGGCTATCTTTTGCTGGTTCTCAAGCCACTTGAAGAAGACCGCCCAGAAGTAGAGCGCAGAAAAGACAAGGCCCTTCCTCCAAGAGCCTTCCCCCAGAGCTGGCTCTCTGAATTTGGACCTGTAGCCTCCTGAACTGTGTGAAAATAAATCTGTTTCTTGTGATGTTTCTGTGGTAGCAGCTAAGACAAGAATGTTTTAAGGATTTCCTAAAATTGCAAACCTACACTCGCTGTAGCCTGGTTTCCATCCCCTTGAATTAAGGTTTCTCAGTAACCTTGGTGGAGGTATGTAATGCTCTACATTTTCATCAGAGAAATCTGTATTTAAATGCAGGCTGCAAGGACAGCTGGAGAAGTGATGTTTGACTTTTGCTTTCCAAAATGAGTACTGCCTTAAAGTGTCTGGGTATCTTCTTCATACACATTCTTCAGACGAAGACTAAAACCGTAAGGTTGTTACAAAATGCTGGCTCCAGACCTGAGAGCAGATACATTCCGTTCTCTATTAGTGATAGAAAGTCCACAGAGGCTACTAAGAACATCCTGAATAACTCACAATTAGGTCAAGCCTGGGATGAGCTCCATCCTTATAGAATGAAAGCAAATTCTATTGTACTGATGAAATCCCTTGAGCTTTCGAGCTTTCTGATTCCATTAGCAGCACATGGCAGGAAACATCTGAGTGAAAACTGAAAAAACGTGGCCATCATTAGCTTTCTCTAGAAAACTAGAGTCTCACAAACTGTATAATAGTTTCACCAAGAGGCTTTAAAAAGAAAAGGAAACTGCCTCTCTGTCGACATGACATTGGAACCAACAGGTTTATAAAGAAAGAAAATTTCCTCTGCTGACTATCTTCTGGTGACTAAATGACACTATCAAAGCATAATTGCAGACTTCTTTCACTTAAGTTAGGATTCATTCCTTTTTTTATATAATTACCTTCTACATGGGCTCCCTGTGTGGCGCTGTAGGATCAGCACAGGACTGCAAACCACAAGGTCAGCAGTTCAAACCCACCGGCTGCTCCTTGGAAACCCTGTACAGGGTCGCTATGAGTCGGAATTGACTCGACAATACTCAACAACAACCTTCTGCATAACTACTAGACTCCTGGTGTGGTGGGGTAGGATTAGCACTGGACTGCAAACCACAAGGTCGGCAGTTCAAACCCAGCTACAGGATCACTATGAGTCAGAACCGACGCGACGGGCACTCAGCAATGGAACTACCATCCAGACTTCCATTGAAAAGCGATGCTTCTCTCTCTGTTCTGCACCCGGCTCAGAGGTGCTAACTGGAATTACAAAGTGTCCCTATGACAGTCACCAGTAGGGGGCAGTACAGAATTCGTGAAGATACAGTTGACTAATCAGTTACTGTTGTTGATGTAAAGTCGGTTCTGACTCACAGAGGCCCAGCAGAGGGTTTCTGAGGATCAGGCTGGTGGGTTTGAACCAACCTTGTGGTTAGTAGTCCTACAGCGCCACACCAGGACATGGAAATCCCAGGTTTCCTAGAGACAATTTAATTATCATCATGTGACAACTTTGGGGGCTCTCAGAGGCACCTGAGAAGGCAGCCTGAAACTGGGACAGCATTATTGACAACGGGAACTCACCAGAAACACGGGCTCGGCATTACACCTGTGGGGCAGACCAAGCTTGGAGATCAGAATCATTTTCAAGAGTTTCCTCTACATTGTTTTCTAATTAATAGTTTAATACAAGAACAGAAAGCAATGAATTGAGACTGGCTGTGGCTAACAGCTTGGCAAGCAGGAATGAGGACTCTTTCAACACAAAGGCTGGATGTGAGTCACAGCTCAGGCCTACGAGGCTGAGTCTATGCCTCTCAGCGCACAGACTTTGAAGTCCCTTCAAAACACACACTTAAGGGCAGTGCTGCCAGAATTGCTTCATTGCAACATGCAATGAAGGTGCCCAGGTCAACCACCAAGCAGTGCAGACAAGTATCGTGACCAATGGGCTTGTTAATGTTTGAAACTGTAGGTTGCTCAAAAATGTAAGCCCAAGAAGATACCATAGACTTTATCTTGAAAATGACTGTAAATAATTATCTACAATTATTAAAGTAAAATAGGGAACATAAACAGTTTTTAAAAACACAGAATACATCAGATGGTTCAAGAGGTGACAAACTCACTCAAAACTAAAAGTTAGGTGTACAGATGCAGTTCAAATAAAGTGTGTACATGAATGGCTAATAAACATAATTTGTTTTCAGTTGATCTAAATTGCATTTGAGCATTTGGACTTATTCTAAATAAAATAGCCAGACCTTTATTTAGAATTTGTCTGAAAGTGAAAAAATTGTATTTATACTGTTCTCAAGGACAGACAAACCATTTTTCATGGTAAAATTTCTTAATTCATTTTTTTTTTAATAAAAATATACAAAATACTACTTTCTACCTTTCCATCACTCGTTTTGTTCAGCAACATCAGCCAAACCGGCCACTAAGTACAAATCACATCCGATCAGATCTTCTATAGTTTCACTGGCTATTAAGGCTCAGTAGACAATTTAGCTTTTAAAACATACAATTATCATAATTGGTTTGCTATAAGGACAACAGAATGAGTCTTTAGAAAAATAGACAAGTGGCATTACCATTTGTGTTTTTTTATCCCGTTTTCCCATTATTAAAACAGATGAAACTGTAAAAACAATCCTCTATTTGCAGTTGCAGGTAGCATATGATATAAAATATTTGCGTATTTTTAATCAAGCAGAATAAATGAGAATCTTTAGAATATCCATCATTAGATTTTAAAAAGAAATACTATGCTAACGTCAGCAGCTGGAAAATATTATCTGACAATTTCAGTGGCCGAACAACACTCTTGTTTTTTTAATAAGGTAAAAGGCTTCAAATATCTAAGACCATTTTAACTTGCCATTCAAAGCTGGCTTCTCTTCCTCAACCCTATATTTTTAGAAATACCGTGAACATAACATTTGGCATTAACATATATTTGCTCATCATAAAAACAACTCAAAGAAATTGCTATATCTGAAATTGTTAAACTTTACAAACTATTTAACATGAGGAAGAGGTATATATTACAGAATTATTTGGCTCTATCATAAGGCAATTGATGAAGAGGGACTTGTTCCTATCAGAACTCTGACATAAATGGAATTCTATAACATGATAAGTCTCCATACATCTGAAAGCATGTTGGTTACAGCAATACAATCAGGCCAGGTCGTCACTACTGAACTTCGACGAAAGTAGATTAAATGAGAAGGGAACAAATTTGGTGCCTGCACCAATGTAGAATTTATTCTGAAATTCCACCCTAAAAAAAGAAAGAACAGGAAAAGAAAAACAAAAACAAGAAAATCTATGGATTAGTGGAAGTTTGTGAAATAACACTGCTTAAATTTCTTGAGACAACATCTGTAAGTTAAGAATCAAGCAGTCCATAGGCCGAAATGGTTTTCTTCTCTAAATCGTTAACGTGTAACAGAGACACGTTGTGCCACCTCACACACTGCGGGACACACAGAAGGGACGGACACCTAGGACTACAAGGCACTGCTCTCCGAAGGCAGAAAACTGGGTTTGTAATCTCAGATAGCCTATGACACATTAGATAACATTTAAGAAATACCAGGAGTCCTGGTGTGGCGCTGTGGGTTCACGCGCTAGGCTGCAAGATCTGTTTGAACCAAGTACATCAGCCTCTCCTTGGAAACCCTAAACAGGGTCGCTATGAGTCAGAGATGACTCAACTGCACTTAACAACAACCACAAGAAGTACTTTATAATAAAATAAAGCAATTTGTCAAGGTCCAAACCCACTACATATTCACTGTAATCAAGTCAATTGTGACTCAGCGATAGGGTTTCTGAGATTGGAAATCTTGTTGGAAATAGACAGCCTCATCTTTCTCTTGTGAAGCAGCTGGTGTGTTCCAACTTCCGACCTTGAAATCAGCAATCAAGCACTTAATCCACTGTGCCACCACAGAAGGCCCAAAATAAACTCGCAAATATGAAATATTATTATCATTCTGCCAGTGTAAACTTGCTTTTGTCTGTGCTAAAAGGTGAATAACAAAATACACATTTAACCCACAAGGATCTGAACATACATCCCACTATTCGGAATGGGACTGCGTACCTAAACAAAAGCTTTTGATTTTCGTGGGGATTGTATTTTTTCATTGCTAAATCCCTAAGCAACATTTCAGACTCACCAATGGAGGCGTATGGCGTGAAGGAAAGCAGACAGCCCTTCCATGATGAGGAGGATGAAGATGGTCAGGACAGCGAAGCAAGCAATGACAGGGAGCAGCAACAGCACGCCGTAGGTGGTGTCCACACGGAGGCCCAGGCGCATAAGCATGGCCCACAGCACTTCCGACAGCTCTGGGGGACAAGGTTGGACCAGAGTGAGTCTCTGCTTAACTTCAGTCAGTTGCCCCAGTCAGCTTCCCCCTGAAAATTCTCCACTTTTGCCCCATAATACTTATGTTGTTGTTAAGTGCCGTCAAGTCGATTCCGACCCATAGCAACCCTGTGTAGGGTTTCCAAGGCGCAGCTGGTGAGCTTGAACCATTGACCTTGCAGTTCAGATGGCTTTGCAGTCTGGCACATGAACCCACAGCGCCACACCAGGACTCCATAATACTTATACACTGTACAAAACATGAGTGAGCTATTTCTTGTGTGAAACTCAACCAGCTCCTTCCTCACCCCTGAGACAGTAAGGAAGACCCGACACTTGGGAAAAATCTGAAGCCCATCTCCCAAAAAAATGGTGGTAGTGGTGTTTGGCCCTGTGTAAGATTTTTCCAAGGCTATAAATCTTTATAGGAGCAGAAAGCCTATTCTTTCTCCTGGGGAGCAGCAGGTGGATTCGAACTGCTGACCTTATGGTTAGCAGCCTAACACATAACCCACTATGCCTCCAGGGTTCCTTATAAATGTATAGGGAAAGGAAAATAATAGTGCATCTATTTTTTGAAGTATTATCATTGAGCATTACAGTGTTTAAAATCTTTAGAAAAATAATAACATCTTATCAAGGATAATTTAAACTCACGGTATGGAGCAAGTATCTTTTCGAGAATTTTGGCACACTGTCACACAAGAAGGATTAAAACATCTTAGGGAAATTGGAATTAAAAGATATTTTCTTATTAACTTTTTGAAGTCCCCTCGTACTCTATTCTAAAATTGGATCAGATCCATTTCTGACATTTTGGAAGACCCTGAAATCTCTCAGAGTTCTGCCAGCATCATTTCCACAGGGGGCATCTTTCTGGTTAGCACCGACACCTCCCTCTTGTTTGTCAGTATGTCTGCTGTCACTACATTCCTCTGGCTGTGTTGTCCTAGGGTGTCAGCAGTGTCAACATACTCAGGGTCAACTACTTCTTCTGGAATTCCAGAACATTCTATTCAAATTTCACTTCCAGCATCATCCCTTTGTATTTCTTTGATGCACTGCCATCTTTGTTGGCCACCTCATTTTGTGACTATCCATTTTTGTTCAGTGGCCCAGGAGTAAAATTCGCAAACAAAAAGGCACCACACAACATACTCTGCTGCCTGTGGCTGAGCAGAAGGACAGATGCGCAGACACTGGTCACTGGCAGGCTTTGAGCGAAGAGGCCTGCCTGGCCACTGATCAGGAAAGGCCTGGACTCTTTCCAGAGTACTGTGAGGACTGAAAAGCTAGCAGGAGAGCATGTACTTTGTGCGCTGAGTCTCAGTTAATCAACTGTGTTGACGGAAGGCTCTTTGGAAGCCAGGATGGTGAGACTTCTTCTCATGTACTGTGGGTATGTTGTCAGGAGAGACCAGTCTCTGGAGAAGGACATCATCATACTTAGTAAAGCAGACAGTAAGCACAAAAGAGCAAGACCCGCCATGAAATGTATTGACAAGAGTAGCTACAACGATGGGCTCAAATACAGCAACAAGTGTGCTTCACTCTGTTGTACATACGGTTGTTATAGGCTGGAACCAACTTCCCAACCAATGAATTCTGAACTGTGCTGTTGGGGACTGAAGCTGTTGAACTAAACCCTTGTGAGGAGCTTGTGTGTCCCAGAGCAGTGCAGAAGGAGGACAGCCTACAATCAAACGACTGCTCAGCACTGGCTGACATCATGAATATTCATATTTGCAAGGCAGAACCTTTCGCATACATGAAGGAAGTAACTGTTATAAAACAGATACAGTTCTTGAAGCCCTCAGTCCCTCAGGAATCTTTTCACGGTACCCTAAGCCAAAGCAAACACCCGCAACAACTATTTATTAAGAAATTCATGAAGATTCTTATTGCAAGAAAGACCTGCAGAAAAAGACTGTCTGGTTGTTTGAACATCAAGCAAGCTATTTGCTTCGGATGCATCAAATAAAGAACGGTCAGCTCATCAGGGAAAACCCCTTCCTAACACTGAAACTCAAAGGGAACCTGTGAGAAGGACAGGATACTCACTGGGAACCACCAGGGTCTCCCTATGAGTGAATGTGAGGGAAATGCACCAATGAAGATATGGCCTGAGTTTGGCCACATTCAGTTGACACCATTGACCTTGAGGTGAGAAAAAGAGAAAGGGGTATCTGGTCTGAAGTTTAGGGAGATGTGTGAATTCCTGAGCCCTTGGGCACTAACCTAGCCCCTGAAGGCAAGGGCTGAGAATGAAGCAGCCAGCTGGTCTGAAGTGTAGGGAGGTGTGTGTGAACTCCCAAACTTGTAGCTAGTACCTGGATGACTAGTTGACCAGAACTTGAACCAAGGAAGATAAAGATGTCTGATACTGAGAACAAATGCAAATTGCTATAATCTGATGAACTAGGTTTTTGCCTATGAATGCAATGACTTGAAATTCCAACCAGAATGGAAGGATTCTTCATATCAAGGAAGAACAAAGAACAAGCTTGTTTCCTCAGTGTACTGGACTGATAGGGACAAACAATTTAGACAGTGGATATCAAAAATGGGGGGGGGGGGGTGCACGCTCCACTTTGGTTGACTAAATTATTATATATTCCTGAGTGTTTTTGTGTACAACCACCTGCGTGCCCCCCCCCCGCCAAAAAAACCCCACAGGTAATGGAAGCAAATACGACTGAATGATGATGCATGTTCTCCCATGTAAACTATCTCTCAATTCACAATAAAAGCTTAAAAAAAAAAAAGGGAAGGGGGGCTACAAAGACATGAAATAGCTGGCTAACAAGCTTTCATGAGCTTAGTTTCAGAATGAGGGGGGTAAGGTGGTATCCCCACTGAATAGTTTCCCTCTTTTCCAGATGGATTGGTGAAAGGGGATGGGGGAGGATGGGGATAGGATTTTATGATTTATTCTGAGTAATTGTTAGCAAAATGAATTGCAATGGTCACAACTGTAAATGTAGAGGATGGGTAACTAAAATGGCGGCTCATTTCAGGAACAGACAATCCGAGGACCATCGAGAAGGAAGAGCGTAAGTGAAACATATGCTCCTGGCTGGAAAAGCGGTGACAGCAGAGGCGGTGGCATGGAGAGGTGGAGCAGCTGCAGGCTCATGGCCCAGGGACTGAGAAAGGCTGTGGACCTGCAGGGAGGAGGCTGGCTAGCAAAATGCATCCTTTGGACATTTAAATGAACATACATTTTTTTGTTTTGTAAGTATGCATCAAATATTTTTGCTTAGTTCCTTTGCAAACTATAATTTGTAAATGGAGAGCTACGGGGAAGAAGTGGGATAACCGTTGTTGCAGGGAGGGGATGGTAATCACTGAAATGAAACAAAGTATATAATTTGCTGAATGTCGAGCTGATTACCTTGTCTGTAAACCATCACCCAATTCACAGCAAAAAAAAAAAAAAAAAAACAACCCACCCACCCTTACTAACGCTGGTTCACAGGGTATCCGAAAGATGGTGCTGTTTCTCTTAAACATCTGAAGTGCCCCACATGTTCCTTGTGAGCTCACAGATGTGCTGCGTGCGGGGTGCCTTGGCACACTTTGGAAACAGCGGGTGTGAACAAACACTTACGTGCATGAGCCAAACTGAGAGCCCAGAGCCTCAGGTACGACGCAGTGTTGGAGATGCAGCCAAGACAGTATTCGATGGAGTGAATCACTTGGGTCATTAATATTTCTCCAAAATTAAACTGAGAGAGATCACACAACATATATTAGATCCTTTATAGGAATACCATTCAAAGAGTCCGTCCACTCTCAGGGCGAACAGGAAACGAACTGACTTCTGGGTACTGCTTATGACAAAGTGGCAAGAGAGGGACTGTGAGTCACAAAATTCAGGTTCTGCTGACAGCTTTCACTATTCCCCCCACTACTACTGTCCTATCCCCAGCAACCCCCTCACCCCAACCCTCAGTTTCTTACATGTAACCTGAGTGGGTTGGACTAGAACCGTGATCGTCAAAACTGTCATATCCCTCAGACACACAAGAGATTCTTGTAATTCAAAAAGTCTCAGATAGAAATAAGCACTTCCCCACCACAGGTTAGAGGAAAAGTAATAAATGCACATGCTGAATAGATGGGAGCATCTACAATTGGAGACCCACAGGACATCATCCGGAGAGATGATGCCAACATGCTCCTAGGCTCTGCTTTTTGTTTCTCTATGATCATCTGAAATTATGAGTACCTCTTCAAAATGGAACCATCAAATTACACAATAATTATAAGAAGTTCATTATAAGGAATGATACTTCGTCCTAGTTGGATGGCCAACTCAAGTCTCCAAGAAAATAAAACATAACAAAGCAGGGGGCATGTTCTTTCTACCCAGAACAATGTCTCTCTTCTTGGGGCGGGGAACCTCTTCTCCAGTTCAACCCTTTGCCCCAAGCAAAGCTATTGGCCCAAGGACAGCATGTGACCCTTGACAAGCCAATCACAGCACTGCCTCAAGAATTTTCCTAACAGTGACTAGCTATAAGAGCACTTCCCACCTCTCTGCTTTTAAAGACTGAAGAAAGCAAGCCCAAAGATAGCCGTGGCCAAGGTTCCAATACCCTTGGGACAATTTGGTTTGAAGACTATAAAGTAAGCTTGCAGTGAGAAGGCCTCTCGGAATCAGCGACCCAGGAACTCAACCAAGTCTCCTTGAGTGGAGACTAACTGTACTTCCGTGCTGATGTGAGCCACTAAGTTTATCTGAAGCTAGTGCGAATTGGGTCTCTTTCCTTTCAGATACAAAATAGCTGACTTGTACGAGAATCTTTTGAAAGCAATGCTCTTAACACTTTAAGTCATTTACTGTCTAACTAGTAATGCTCACACACTTTTGAACAATCCTATTGTTTAATGTGAAACAAGATGTTAACACAAAACTCTCACACAAGGGTAAATCAAAAAGCATTGCCACAAAATCACAAACAACTTTATTAAACAAATATATCAAAGTGGGAAACTATGTTTCTCAGCATGTCCTCCACTAGGCCTGTACACTTCTGAAGGCGGTGCTGCCTCTCTACCACCCATTCCCTAAGTTCTGCACTCTTCATATACACCATGTCAAAACAGCAGTTTTGGTCTTCTCACAGAACTCAAAATCATGTTCCTTTGAAACAGTCTTTGAGTTTGGAGAACCAAAAGAAGTCTTAAGGAGCAAGATGAGGGCAGTAGGGAGGTTGGGGTAAGGCTTCACAATCAAATTCCTATTGGGCAGTCCTTGCTACCCTCAAAGAATGAACAGGTGCATTATCGTGATGGGAAAAATTCCTTGACAAAACTTTCCTGGCCTTTTTCTCACCAATGCAGTTTTCCATTTTCTTAAAACTTCTTCATAGTAAGTCCCGTGGTTATCCTGTGTCTTTCAAGAAAATCTATCAAAAACGTTCCTCTGGAATCCTATAAAATCGTTGCAATAAGGTTTTGAGCTGACCTCTCTACCTTGAATTTAACTGGCCCGGCAGAACCCTTTGGATCCAAGCCACTGTTTGGATTGTCTATTTTTCTGAAGACACTCTAAAATAAGACCAAGGTAAGTGAATTAATGAGAGAACTTATCTGCAACCATCCACTGATCACAGCCATGTTCAAACACATTTTGCTTGGAATAAGCCTGTGCATACAGGCAATACTTTTCAACTCGACGGCACTTAACAACAACAAGAACCCTTGTATTATATTTGCTCCTGTTGTTAAGTGTCGTCAAGTCGGTTCTGACTCACAGTGACCCTGTATAAAGTTTCTGAAGAGTAACTGGTGAGTTTGAACTGTCAACCTTGCAGTTAGCAGTACACCACACCAGGACCCCATATTCTAGTGATGACACCAGTTTACTAGCAAATTATGAATTATTATAGGATGGCTATCACTGAGAGCTCAGTGGGCTGATGTCAATTTCTCAACCATTACTGGAAAAGTTACCTCCTCGATGGTCACTTCCCGGCAGCCATCCTCCATTCGGGGATTTCCTTCTTCGATGTCTTGGCTTCCCAGCAGAGACACCTCCTCTTCACTATCCTTCCTCACCAGGGTGTAGCCACTCTGTCAGCAAGCGGAGGAGGGCATGATCAGTGCAGTTCAATGACAAATTGGTGACAGAGTCTTATGCGTACTCCCTTCATTTCCCTTCACAATTGGGCTTGTGGGGAATAAAACAAGCTCTTTAAGAGGAGCTGAAGAACTAGACATACATGGAACCATGAGTCTGGAAATAACACGTGCCAATAAATGGTATCAGTGGTTACCCCTGGAAAAGAGGGGCGGAACTGAACACTTTTTGCTGTGTTTTCCATGTTTTCTAGCATCTTCTAACTATTCAAATAAAATGCTTTCAAGGGGGGAAATAAAAAGCGTAAGGGAAACATCCAGTCTTTAATTCTGAAAACTTGTCTCTAAGAATTTCGCCACAGCTTTTTGATGATCCCAGAGAATAGAGGGTTCAGGGCCTGTTTCTATATAACACGCAACGTGCCAATGCCAAGTCCAGGAAGCCTGGGCTTTGGCTCTGACTGGGGCTGCGGGCAGGGCTCCTTTCCTAATGAACCACAGGCTGTGCACTGCCCTGAGCACTCCCCTGCCACTCACCCTGCTGACTCCGAAGCAGCTGCGTCCATTGTGCAACCACAACAGGAAGAGTGGTTTTCCCAGGAAGAGCACGGGGACAGACAAGGCCGTGACCACTAGTAGCAATCTCTGGACGTGCTCCTGTTTGGGCAGGCGACACCGGTTAGAAATGCAAGCGTGGCTCACAGCGCTGTCAGTACACTGGACTCAGTGAGTGGACATAAAATACAATCTCACCTTACTCACTAGCAAGGAATGTACAATAAATGTTGGCCGAACCTTATTTGCTAGCTGAGTTTTCTCTTTCGTTCCCTAAACTCACCGTTGGGTTCTAGAATTGAGGAGGAACATTCAGAACACAACGCGGCAGTGCTACCACTTAGACTGGCAAGGAATCTGAAGAAAACACAAAACAGAATCCAACGTCCAGCAAATAATTTTCTGAAATGCTGCAAATGTGAAAATATGAGGAGGCTTTGAAAAAAATCACGGGAAAATGTAACTCAAAGAAAATGAAATTCCAAATTTTCAATCAAGCAACAGATACAGAGGGGAGATATGCTCACCATGGAATGGTCAACCATTCAAAATCAAAAGGGCAGCATTTACCTAAGGACAAAGTTGAGAAAGGATGGGAAGGTGGGTAGACTGGAGATAGGAGCACCAGGGGGAAGTGGGGTAACTGATGTTGTGGGGGGTGGAGGGGCTGCAATCACTGATGTGAAACAAAGTGTACGATTGTCAAATGAAAGCTGATGATCTTGTCTGCGTACCTTAACTCAATTCACAATAAAAAGTAAAAAAAAAAAAGGGGATTTTCTATGAACGTTTTGAAGGCCCCCCTGTACAAACATAAACAGATTTAAAAAAAACAAACAAACTTCCTGGTTTTGTTTCTTTTGTTTTTCCTACAAAGACTAGCTGAGGAATGAGAACACAAAGTAAGAGAATGTTGCTCTACACATGAAAACGACTGACAGACCAGGCAGAATACAACCAAGCTGCTGGTGTTTTAAAGAAAGAGTTCAAAAGTCAACATATCTGTGCTTACAACATGCCCTTGTAGGGACATGATCTGTCTGTCTGTACGCTGATCCAGGAATGCAGGGACAGCTCAGCACGAGAAAACCAAACAACATAATGCACCAACACAACAGAACAAAGGAAGAGAAGGCACGTTTGATAAAATGACTGAATAGAAGGGAAATTCGCAATATGATTCAGGACACATATGACACGCCCTGAACCGTAATAGCCAACCTTATACTTAAGGAGGGAAGCCTGAGAGCTTTCCTGTTAAAATCAGGGATAGGAGCTCTTACCACCACTTCTACTCAATACTGTATGAGAAGTCCCATCCAGAGTCCTGTAGTAGGAAGCTGTATAAGCAGTGAACTGCTAACCCAAAGGTCAGCAGTTCAAATCCACCAGCCCCTCCTTGGATACCCTATACAGGGCTGCTAAGAGCCGGAACCTATTCAATGGCACTTAACAACACTGGAAAAAAGAAGTAAAATGATCTCTACTCACAGATGATGTGACTCTATATACAGAAAATTCTAAAAGTCAGTAAGAAAACTTCTAGAGCTAACAGAAGGACTTAGAAAAACTGCAGGGTACAAGGTCAACAACAAAAACATCAGTTGGGTTTCTATATGCCAGCAATAAGAAACCTGAAAGGGAAATTAGGGAAACAATTCCATTCACATAGCATCAAAGTGAACAAAACACCTAGGAATAGATCGAACACTGCCCCCAGCAATCCATACAGTCAATGCAATCACACTCAAAATGCCAACAGCCTTCTCTACAGAAACGGAGAAACCAATCAACTTTATACGGAAGGCAAGAGGCCCCAAATACAATGCTAAAAGAGAAGAACAAGGAAAAAGGACTCAAATTTTCGGATTTAAAAAGGCACTTAACAACAACACACTGCTACAAAGAAGCCCTGGGGAGCACAGTGGATTACAAATTGGGCTGCTAATCCAGGGTCGGTAATTCAAGTCCACCAGAGTCTCTGTGAGAGAAAGATGAGGCTTTCTGCTCCTGTAAAGATTTACAGCCTCAGAAACCCTGCACAGGGTCACTGAGTCAGAACCAATTAAGGGGCACACCACCACCATCAGACAGCTACAGGGAGTGCTGGACTGCTAATGGCAAGGTCAGTGGTTCAAACACACCAGCCACTCCTCAGAAACCCATGGAAGGATCACTGTGAGTCAGAACTGACTCAACAGCACTTAGCAACAACAACAACATACTGCTACAGTGGAGCGCAGTGGCTCCACATGATAAGTACTGGGCTGTGAACCACAAGGTTGGCAGTTCAAGTCCACCAGCCACTCCACAGGAGAAAGATGAGGTTTTCTGCTCCTGCAAAGATTTAAAGCCTCGGAAATCCTATACCAGGTTGCTAAGAGTTGGAAGAGACTCAAAGGCACTACCAACAACATACTGCTACCGTAATTAAAACAGCCTAGTACTCGTGTAAAAGTGCACACATAAACCAGTGGAACAGAAGTGAGAGTCCAAAAATAAACTCATGCATCTACTGTCAACTTATTTTTGACAAGCATGCTAATTCCATTTGACAGGGAAAGAAAAGTCTCCTCAATAAACAGTGATGGGAAAATTGGGTTTCCACATGCAGAAAAAATGAAACAGGACACATGCCTCACACCATAAACTAAAATGCAGAATGGATCAAGAACCTAAATATACAAAAGAAAAACCATAAATTTTTCAGAAGAATAAGTAGGAGTAACACTACTCGGTCTAGCTTTTAATGATGGATTATCTAATGTAATACCAAAAGCACAAATCATAAAAAATTAGCAAACAGAACTTCAGGAAAAAGTTTAAAATTTTGTCCATCATAAAACTTAACTAAAACAGTGAAAAGACAAACAAGTGATTGCGAGAGTATCTTTGGTAACCATATATCTACCAAGAATCTAACAGCTGAAATATATATAAAACTTCACCAAGGCCACTTTTGACGTCAAGACCTACAGCAATCTCACCCCTGACCTCTGGAAAGGACCCACGTGTACCAAGTCTCCCTAGCAGGAACTCACTGACCATCTCGTAAAGACCACACGAGTCTGTGCAGAGGACCCAGGTTCTAGCTGTGGTCACCACATAGTGGTTTCATACAAGAAAAATAAAGAGAATTAAGTAAGCATGAAGGAAGCGAAATAAAGTATCGATATGGGATAGTACTGCCAACAGCAAGCTCAAAGATTATAGACGGAAACCTCATGGGACAATACAGTTCTGTTAATGAGGAAGGAACAACTCAGAAGAAGGGGTGAGAATGGTTGAACAACTCAAAGAATGTCCTCAATGTCCCTAAAGGGGATGTGTGGAAAATGATGAATTGGTGTAGACTTTTATTCTCAACCACAGAAACAAAACAAATAAAATTAGAGGAAAAACAAAGCATTCCCTCATGAACTCCAAGCAGGGCTGTTGGCGCTCAGGGCCCACACTCTTAGCCAGTGTGTGGCCACACTATGCATGAGGGCAACATCATCCAAACGGACAAGTAAAGGACCATTTTCCCAGAGGGTCAACGTACTGTGGTCTGGTGGCTAGTTCTCTGGAGACCTGGCTTAAATAACTGGAGAGATGGGGGACAGGGAAGCCCCTGGGAGCCTCCACCAATACAGCATCCATCACCACTTTTGCTTGCTGTCTGGGGGCAGTGAGTTTCAAGAATACTGAGCAACTGGCCCGAAACCACTCTCATCAGGACCCACACCCTCTGTTTAGAACAGACACAGGGAGAAAAGAGCCTTGGCCCCCAAGAGGTCTGTGGGGAGCACCCTAATCTCATAGTGGTCTACCCACCAGGGTTCTGATCTGCTACACACAACACAAAGGCCTCAGGAGAAGTGATCTGAGGTTTATGAGTGTGGAGAAGATGATTACTTACCTGCCCTGGATAAAGACCAATGGTTTCACTAGTTGGGAACAGGAACATGTTGATGAATTCAATCAAGATGCTCGGAGCAAGTCTGGAGGTCTCTGCTGAATAAACCAACCACTTGTAGATAATCATAAATATCAGGTATCCAAAGATGCAGAGCATGAAGAGTAGTTCCGGGATGGAAACCAGATAAATATTGAACTTCTTTCGGAAATGCCTAAGTTTAACAACAACAAAAAAAGAGTAACCAATCAAACCACAAGTGGCGGTGGCTGTGTGCCGTGGAGTCAGTTCTGACTCATAGCGACCCTGTACAGGGTTTCTGAGGCTGTAAATCTTTACGGGAGCAGAACGCCTCATCTTTCTCCCACGGAACAGCTGGTAGTTTCGAACTACTGACCTTGCGGTTCGCAGTCCAATTTGTAACCACTACGTTATCAGAGATCCTTAATCAACCCACAAGCAGGACCAGACAAAGAGAGCAGTAGAGAGCAAATTAACCTCAGGTTCTCTGTGACTGAAAAACAGCTGACTCAGCATGGCACCATTTACCTTGTGATAGTTCCAGTGTGTTTCAGAGATAGCCAAAAGGACAACAGATGTTAGGACAGCGAGAACTGACTAGCCTCTCAGGATCAGATGTAGTTATGGGGCTCTGGTGGTGCAGGGGTTAAGCATTCTGCAGCTAACTGAAAGGCTGGTGGTTCTACACCACCCAGAAACTCTGAAGTAGAAACATCCGGCAATCTGGTCCCTAAAGATGACAGTACCGAGCAGTTCTACTCTGACACACAGGGTCATCACTATGAATCAGAATCAACTCAACAGCACACAGCAATAGCCGTAAGGAAAGAATAAGCTTTCTAATTTCTGAAATAAAGATTAGGACAAAAATCACTTCTGGAAATATACATTTACACATTGGACGATTATCTCCATAAGGGTAAAAAGTGTTTTCTGTCCTCACTGCTTAATCCTCAGTGCCTAGCACATAGCAAGTGCTCAGTAAACACTTATAAACGTTGGTGGCATAGTGAGTTACACATTGGGCTGCTAACTGCAAGGTCAGCAGTTCAAATCCACCAGACACTCCAAGGGAAAAAGAAGAGGCATTCTGCTCCTGTAAATATTTACAGCCTCGGAAACCCTACAGAGAGTCACTATGAGTAGGAACAGACTCGATGACACACAACAATAACAGCAATAAATACTTGCTCAGTAAATGAATCCTTGAAATCACACATAAAGCACAACACAGATTCATATGTACCATGCACATCACAACCACAATGGCTGTCTTTGACCAATACCATCTACCATCAAGAATCAAAGTTGAAGAAATACCAAAATTGATAAATATTGCTAAAAAAAAAAAATTAATACTTACAAATGGTTAAATATTCCCAACGTGACTCCAAAAGTCATGTGAATAATTCCTAAAATCACCGACATTTTCATTTTGAAAGAGTTTAGAAACGTGAGGCGATTTGTGGCCAGGTTCCAAATCTAAGGGGAAAGAAAACCAAACCAGAAAGTCTCTTATGCTGTTAAGGATAAATAGACAAGGCTCAAGAAAGTGACAGTCTCCAAGCAGCTCTAGATTTCAAGCAAAAACAACACACAGACTCCTCTTTGCATCTTCAACCTCACATGTATTTATTTTCTGAAACCATGGCCACAAACAATTAAAAAAAAAAAATTCTATCGATATAAAAGATCAAAGACAGGCAAAATTAAACAATATATTATTTACTGACTCATGCACAGGAATACTAAAAAGAAAAAGCACAGGAAAGAAACAGGTGAATCCTATGAACATACAATTAAAAGAACTATTTAAAGCAAAAAGAAAATACAACATGGGCTCTCTCTCTCAAACATATACATACACACAGACTTTCTTCTTGGGTTCCTGATAACTTAATTCTAGAACCACATCCTTCCTTAACACAAGGCCACAAGGTGTTAGTAAATCTGGCCCCAAACGTTAAGTCTTCAGGAAACTGCTGTGAACATTTCCTGGTAACTGACTGTACCAGGACGTAAACCTCGAATATTATAATACACAAACTGCGTTAGGGAGAAGGAAGCATACATCGATCAACGGGATAGCACAAGGGGGCTTCACAAGGTCTGTGGAAATTTTCTATTACCTTTTCATTTTCTTTTTCCATGAACTTTTTTTTTTT